AACGTGTTAGTGCTGACAGGTGAAAATGATGATGCAGACGCTCACGTTTGGCTTCCTGATTGTCATGCAGAAGAGTTTTAGTTTTAGTGTTTTTACAAAAATATTCTGTACTGTGTAAATAACACTTAGACACTTGTACTGTGCGTGTCTCTGTATTTACTTTGTGACGACCCCCAGCCTGTTTCCCGCCGCCACAGTCTCTTTGTCCTCCCGTGTTCCGTGCAGAGAAATCTCTGCTGTGCTTCTTCACCGTCGCTGCTCGTCGTTCTTCTCTAATTGAACTTTCTTCTTTAGCCGACACATCTGCTTCCTGTTTACACCGGCACGCACATGCTCAGCGTACGTGAACGGTCACGTGACGTGCGTTTTCAGTCGTTTAAATACAGACGGCCATCAGTTCTGATTTGTAGCTAAAACGCCGGTGTGGACAGAAATCGTTTAAGTAGTGTGGCTGTAGCCTCAGAGAAGCAGGTGGGGAGATGGGCAGGGACGCTCAGGAGAGGCGACAAGGTGAGTGCAGGATCTGTGGAGATATTACAACTAAATTAATCTTCATTTATATAGTTATATATGCAGTATCACCCTCACATGTTGGTAAATATTTGATTTGAACACTGAAGAATTGACACTTTGCTACAGTGTAAAGTAGTGAGTGTACAGCTTGTATAACAGTGTAAATTTGCTGTCCCCTCAAAATATCACATCACACAGCCATGGAGGGGTGGAAGAGGACTCTAGTGGCAACATGTGAAGCTCTGCTGAACTCCATGTCCCAGAGGGTTAAGGCAGTGCTGGAAAATAATGGTGGCCACACAAAATATTGACACTTTGGGCCCAATTTGGCCATTTTCACTTAGTGGTGTCCTCACTTTTGTTGCTAGCAGTTTAGACATTAATGGCTATGATGTGTTATTTTGAGGGGACAGCAAGTTTACACTGTTATACAAGCTTCACACTAACTACTTTACACTGTAGCAAAATGTCATATTGTATATACTGTATATAAATATAGATATTGGACCCTTAGCTAAGGAATTTAAAAACAGAGAGTGATCTTGCAGCGTGCCAGGAAATGATTTCACCGTCTCATGTGAAAGTGTCATCATCTCTTTGACGTCTGCAGGTTTGTGACCGGTCGATGCAAGTTTGGAATAAAGTTTCAACATTTAGAAACTCACAGTGAGTCAGATGGCGTTGCTGTGTCATGAGTCAGCTGTAACTCACTGTGTGTGTGTCAGTAACATCCTGCTGTAAAGAGTTCAGCAGAACGGGTTCCAGTAGATGAATGAAATTCTGGAAAATGTGACAACAGGCACGTTCACCACGTCGATCAGCTGGCTGTCACTTCAGCCCACAGGGCTCTGTGCAGGCCGTGTTCTGCCACAGCAAACTGGGAGAAGCTTTTCTTTATGGAGCTGCTTCGTGCTCGGGGACGTCGTCGAGTTAAAAGACAAGAGGAACACAAACTGACGACGTAAAGATGCAGAAAAGCTGCAGCCACCAACCTTTTCAGAGCAAAGACCACTTTTCATGTCAAAATATGAGTCAAGCTCTCCGATACTGTCTGTTTATTTAATATTCTCTTTAGTCCATTTGACCATAAACATGATTACTAGAAGTCTATATCTTCACATCCAACATCAGGAACGTTCCTTCTTTCTACACAAACTTATTTAAACTTATTTTAGGTTTTGAGACAGGATGCACTGCAAACACACTGTTGTACCGTTATATCTCCTCTGATTCAGATTCTTCCTCCTCATTAATGTGCAGTTATTGAGCTGATCAGACTGCAGCTGATGTTTCTTTACATTCAGGATCAATGTGCTGATTAATTCATATTTCAACAAACAAACCCTTTTTTATAAAGTTTTCCACACATTAAATGTCACGAGACTTGTAGTCCGTTTTGGGACACTTGACAATCGACCTATTTCAAGATAAGATAAGATATGTTTTCAGTTTACCAGTCGTCGGCAGGGAGACCAGGCCGATCATTTTGGACGCTGCCTGCTGAGGAGATGTCATCATCAGCTGATCAAGCAGCTCTGAAGTGCATCGTGGGTAATGAGCCAAAGACACAGAGAGAGACGTGAGGAGTGAGCGCTGTCTCACTTCAGATGAGAGAAGATCAAATTTTTACAGTTACAGGATGGCAGCAAGTCAAAGAGTAGGGCAGATAAACAACAGGTGGGGGGGGGGGTGTTACTCAGCTGCCTCAGCTCATCATGCAGGGCGGGGGGGCAAAAACGTACTATCTACAAAAGACAAGTAGCCTGTGTTAAAAACACAGCTGCTGTTGTTCATCTCAAATCATCAGGAAGTTTGTTCCAGAGACTCAGTTCTGTGTTTTACAGGAAGCCAGTGAAGTGATCTTAGCACAGAGTAAAAGATGTCTTGAATGAGCCATCCCACAGTCTGTCTGGGCAACAGGGCGTTAGCGCAGTCTGGAGGAGGTGAATGAATGAACCAGTTTTTCAGCATCTGGCGGAAACAACATGGATTTAACGTAAAATTCTGTTCTAGTTATACGAGCTTCATCCACCTGGATTTCTTATTTACACACAAACTGTCGCTTTTGCAGAATAGTTCAGCTTCCATTAACAAAAGGTTGGAAGACAACTTTCTGCCACTTAATGCAGATAAAACTGAGGCGATGATAGTTGCCCTGGACAACATTTCCCCTAAATTTAATCAGATTAATCTCATCTTCTGACTGTGTTCTAACAGTCATGTAAACAGTGTCGTTCGTTCCTGTTTTTTTTTCTGAAAAAGAGATGAAGATGCTTGTTCATACTTTTATTTTATCACAAATCCCAGAGTGCAGCTGCAAGACTTTTGACTAAGACCAGCAGGAGATCGCACATTAAGGCCCTTCATTGGCTTTAGATGTAAATGCTCTGTGTTTGCATTCACCCATTCACACACATTATGAAACTTTTAATCAGTACTTACAGAGCCTTGCACGGTCAAGCTCACTCTTACATCCAGGATCTATTGCGTGCACACACCTCTGGTCGCTCTCTGAGGTCTTCAGGCCTTTTAACTGTTCCCAGAACAGCTTTCTGTGTAGCGGCTCCAAGGCCCTGGAACTCCCTCCCTTTAGCCTGAGAGCCCTGGATTCTGTGGAAACAAGCTTTTAATTAGCAATAAGGTTTTGCTTTCTCAAAATGTCTCTGGTATTTTATGTTCAGTTGCTGTTTTAGTTATTTTTTAGCTTATTACAGCTTTGCTGTAAAGCACTTTGTGACCCCAAACAAACTTAACTTTCAGTTTTGAGTGAATCTCCTGTCTCTGACCATCAGCACCTAGAACAAGGATCTCATTCCTGTCTTCGTCTAACTGCAGAACGTTTTGCGTCATCAGTATCTGCTGTTCAAGAGCAGTGTTGCGGCCGAATATCGCTAAAGAAAAACATCCGCTGTAGGGAGAAAACTTGATGATGCACACACAGTGATACTTAAATACTTTTCCCACAGACCCGTTAACCCATTTATTTTCCATTTCATAGTGATGCACAACGGTGCCACTTACCTGTTTCATACAGCCATGCAAAGAAAACGCAACACAACAACACCCGAGTGCCAATACAAATGAATCAGAATCCGCTTTATTGCCAGGTATGTGTACACAGTACATTCGACTCAGGATTGTACATTGCTCACGATGTGCTTACTTGTACAAAAATACCATAACACAATAATAAAATATAATAAAATAAAATCAGACACAAACTACAGTATAGACAACACTAATATACACACTATGAACAAAACAATATAGACATATTGACAAATAGTGCAGTAAAAGGATGCAAGAGTAAAATATTATTCTCATTATGTACATGTTGAAGGTGGATATGATATACAGGTACACATACACATACATAATGTACACAGTGTGATGGAGCATAGTGCAAAGGATGCTGGAAAAAATAAGACCTATGACCTTAAGACCTGAGGTAGGTGTATTGGTATACAGTATATACAATATGACCTAGTATGAACAGCACTGAGAAGCACTGAGTTTATGCAACCAACTCAATCTGACTGGAGAAACTAATGTGATTTGTCGCCCCGGCCTTCGTGTCGCCACCTCATCCGCAAAGACTTTCTTTTACAAACAATAAACACCTACTAAGTTAGCTGCTGCTGCTGCTAACGTTAGCTCAGTTTAGGAGCTCACTTTGTTTTTACTGTAGGATTCCTTCAGTGTTGACCGCTCAGGGCGTTTTTAGCGGGAGCTGAATTACCACCGAGGACGTCTCCTCTCCAGAACAAGAATATTAGCATCTCTTTGGCAGACACTGAGAGACCATGTGGTGGAAAAGAGGCTTAAAAGGTGACACGCTGGTAAATACTGCCTTCATCTTAGTGGTACTAAAACATAGAGTTCTTATGTGTTTTTACTTCTTCTTCTGACATCTGTGTGATATAGTGCGTGTACTGTGGTATCTGTGTGTGTTTTTATTTACTCCAAAACTAATTGCCCCTCTGGGGACAAATAAAGTTCTCCTTTACTGATTGAGGGCGCACAATTAGATCTAACTTTATTAAACTTTATTAACAAAAGACACCAAAAACAAAGATTTCCATTAAGATCAATCAGCAAATGAATTATGGGAAATATTTACACATCAACATCCAATACATCAAATGGAATATTAGTACTCATATTTGTACTGACGGATATTGATAGTGCTCAAAATAAATGTGAGTAGGTGGAGGATACAACACTTTCCTTACAGAGTAAACTCAAAAAACGT